ACGGAGAGGGGAAGGACAGACACTATACTGAGCCCCGGGGCTCTGGCGCCCCTAATCCCCAGCAGGTGGCAGACGGGGCCGGCTGAGGGCATATCAGTGCCAGGCCCGGCCTGGCTGCCCCAGCAGGAGGGCGCCTGGCTGGAGCGGAGGCCCCGGGCGCTGGGCTGCGGCCGGCTGCCAGCCCTTCCCCGCCCGACACACGGGAGCCCAGCGCCGGCTCAGCCCGGATCAGTCGGCTCAGCCCGATGGCTTTGGGGACAGCGGGTCGGGCGCAAAGACAGTCCCCGTGGGGGAGGGGGAGCCAGGACTCCTGGGTTCTCTCCCTGGCTCTGGGAGGGGAAGGGAGTCTAGTGATTGGGGGGGGCTGGAAGCCAGGACTCCTGGGTTCCCAAGCAACCCTACAATGGCAAAGCAGCCTACGTAGGCCCTACAATAACAAACTAGGACATGTAGCTATCGCTAGACATGTAGACGCAGGGGTGAGGACGGACAGATGGACTGATCCGCCTCATAGAAACAGTGGAGCCAGAGGGGGTGTAGCGGGGGGGCCCTGAGCAGGGGCTGTTTCCTGGCCCCCAGGCTCGGGGCGGGGGGGGAGCGGATCCAAGAGGCGTCTGGAGCCCAGCCCGATTTCTCTCAGCTCCCACAGGCCGTTTCCCCGGGAACGAATTAGCCTTTTGAAAGAATCTGATCCAGCCAGAAATTGCAGCGCCCCCCCGCCCCATCTAATCCCCCAGGCTCCTGGTCAGCTGGGACAGGGGCCACACAAGGTGCAGCCCCTCCCACAGTGCTCAGCACACCAGCCCTTTGGGGATCAGATCCCGTCCTGGGGGCCGCATGGAGGGGGAGGCAAGGAGGGGTCCCAGGGCCAGAGCCGTGGCTGGCATAACTGGGGGAGGACGGAGCGATTAGATTGGGGATGGAGGGGTGTAGCTGGGGATGGAAGGGTGTGTGGGAGGATGGCTGGATGGATGGATAGAAGGGAGCAGAGACCCCAGTGCCTGATGCTCCTCGTGGACACCAAATGAACCCACCAGTGACATGGGCAGGAAACCATCCCCCCGACCCTCTCCCTCGCCCCAGCGTTTGTGGGTTCGTTTCCCCCCTTCGTTCCCTGCCGAACAGGAACGGGTCAAAGCGCCAGGGGGAATCCTGATCTCCACAGTGAAAAGCCTTGGGATGGAGCTGGGGGGCTGAGGTCAGAACCTGGCCCCGCTGCAATCAGGGGTGACTCCGGATTGACCCCGGGGGGAGCTGGGATCAGAACCTGGCCCCGCTGCAAACAAGGGTGACTCCGGATTGAACCCAGGGGGCGCTGAGATCAGAACCCAGCCCCCCATATGCACCCTCCACCGTCACCCCCCCTCCCCAAAACACTTCCCCAAACTCTTCCCTGCCAGGCTAACAAAGGGGCTCCGGACTCCAGCGGGGGGAAACCGAGAAAAGCTCCGGGCGAGAGAGATGGAGGGAGCGTGGGGGGAGGGGGGGAAGCGCGGCCGG